GTGAAAACTTTATTTGCATTAGATGACGATGTCTTTCCAGTAGAAGACGTTTGGAGATATAAGTTTTTCATTTAGCTTAGATTTGCTATAAATATTCCCAATACCAGTGGCAAAAAATATTTACTAGATTAGTTTACCTACTAGTGTGTGTAATATAATTTAGCTGTATCATGTGCCCGATGTCAAATCAGGTCAAAAAACATCTGTTCGTCCGTCTGTCCGTCTGTCTGTTTGTCTGTTTTTGCCGGCGGCTCATATGTAAATCACCTCGAATGCATTTCATAAACGCCCACCAGTAAAATATACGATGACAACTTGCCAATTATTTTTAATATTGAGGTACATCCACACAAAAATGGAGGGAAATATAGTGAATTAGGTGCTAGTGGCATTTTGCCTTGAGGCAAGTTTAATGAAACTATCTGTAAAACAATATAGGTAGAAGTAAAGTTTTAGAAATTTCTTATAATTTGTGTATTTGTTTTAGAATGTTGTAAATTTAGTATGTTATACTTTAATATGTCTTTAATATGATATCAAATACTAAAATCGATGAGTGTTCTTAGAAATTTTCAAGATATTTGCATTTTTGTGACAAAAGTACCTCCAAGTCTAACAATGTAAGAATGCATTTTCATGTGAAAGAAATTTCTTGTAATTTGGTTATTTAATTTAGAATGTTGCAAATTTAGTATGTTATACTTGAATATGTCTACTATGATATCAAATACTAAAATCGATGAGTGTTCTTAGAAATTTTTAATTTTTTTTTTTTTAAGTTTTCTTAAACATTTTCTAGATATTTGCATTTTCTTGAAGAAAGTACGTCTAATTTTTCATGCAATTTTATTGAAACAAGTCCAATTGTATTAATATATGAAAACGCTGAAGAAGTAAAGTTTTAAAATTTATTATAATTTGTGTATTCGTGTTTGAATGTTGTAAATTTAGTATAATATAGTATAATATACCTACTATGACCACAAATACTAAAATCGATAAGTTTTCTTAAAAATTTTTAAGATATTTGTATTTTTATGAAAAAAGTACCACTTCCAAGTCTAAGAATGAATTTTGATCCAATTGTATACATAAAAACATTAAGTAAAGTTTTAAAATTTATTGTAAATTGTGTAGATGTGTTAGAATATTGCAAATTTAGTATGCTATATTTTAATGTGTCTACTATGATAACAAATTCTAAAATCGATGAGCGTTCTTAGAAATTTTTAAAGATTTCTGCATTTTTATGATAGAAGTGCGCCGATTTGTATTGGAATATGAAAATACTCCAGAAGTCAATTTTTAGAAATTTCTTGTAATTTAGATATTTAATTTAAAATCTTGTAATTTTAGTATATTATGCTTTGATATGTCTACTATGATAACATATACTAAAATCGATGAGTTTTCTCAGAAACTTTCAAGATATTTGTATTTTTATGAAAAAAGTACCTCTAAGTCTAACAATGTAAGAATGCATTTTCATGTGATAGAAATTTCTTGTAATTTGGATATTTAATTTAGAATGTTGCATTTATAGTATGTTATGCTCTAATATGTCTACTTTGATGATAAATACTAAAATCGATGAGTTTTTTTTAGAAATTTTCAAGATATCTGCATTTTTATGATAGAAGTACGCCGAATTGTATTGGGATATGAAAATGCTCCAGAAGTCAATTTTTAGAAAATTCTTGTAATTTGGGTATGCAATTCAGAATGTTGTAACTGTAATATGTTATACTTTAATATGTTTACTATAATAACAAATGCTAAAAGTGGCAAGTTTTCTCAGAATTTTTCAAAATATCTCCATTTTTATGATAGAAGTACGCCGAATTGTATTGGGATATGAAAATGCTCCAGAAGTCAATTTTTAGAAAATTCTTGTAATTTGGGTATGCAATTCAGAATGTTGTAACTGTAATATGTTATACTTTAATATGTTTACTATAATAACAAATGCTAAAAGTGGCAAGTTTTCTCAGAATTTTTCAAAATATCTCCATTTTTATGATAGAAGTACGCCGAATTGTATTGGGATATGAAAATGCTCCAGAAGTCAATTTTTAGAAAATTCTTGTAATTTGGGTATTTAATTTAAAATGTTGTAAATTTAGAATGTTTTACTTCAATATGTCTACCATAAGTACAAATAATAAAATCGATGAGTTCTCTTAGAAATTTTCAAGATATTGCATTTTTTATGAAAAAAGTACCTGCAAGTCTATAAATGCATTTTATACAATAAGCAAGTCAAGTTTTAGAAATTAATATAAATTTGTGCATATGTTTTAGAACATTGTAAATTTAGTATGTGGTACTTTGATATCTCTACTATGATGACAAATACTAAAACTAATAAGTTTTCTTACAAATTTTCGAGATATTTCCATTTTTCAAAATTTGGACCTATTCCCTAAAACTGAGGTCACCAACTTGTTTTCTGAATTATTTTTGTATTTCAATTAACTTTTTATAATTCCCAATTAGTCGTCGAATTAAAATTCTAAAATTAGATTGTAGATTTGTATGTGGATGCACCACAATGATGGTGCCAAGTTAACACGTTCTGAAATTGAGGAATGCACCTCCAAAAATAACCTCCAAGCGGTGAATTCACACAATTCTGGAACAAACAACAAGTACAACATAGTTGTTGTATATAGATAGACGAAGGGACGAATTATTTACAAACATCTCCAGAAGAATATATATTTATATATATATATATATATATATATATATATATATATAAATTTCAAGACTAATCTTTCAAGTTTTCACAGAATGTTCTAGGATATTTGCGTTCTCCTACGTACGTCCAAAAAAAAAGTACGTCCAATTGTTATAATATATGAAAAAGTTAAAGAAGTCAAGTTTTAAAAATTTATTATAATTTGTGTATTCGTGATAGAAAGTTGTAAATTTAGTATGTTATGCTTTAATATGTCTACTATGATAGCAAATACTAAAATCGAAGAGTTTTCTTATAAATTTTCAAGATATTTGCATTTTTATGAAAAAAGTACCCCCAAGTCTAAGAATGTATTTTGATTTAATACAATACAGAAGTAACGTTTTAGAAATTTATTATATTTTTTCTATTTGTTGCAAAGTGTTGTAATTGTAATATGTTATACCTCAATATGTCTACTATGATAGCAAATACTAAAATCGATAAGTTTTCTTAGAATTTTTTAAGATATTTTCATTTTTATGCAAAAAGTACGTCCAATTGTTATAATATATGAAAACGCTAAAAAAGTCAAGTTTGAAAAATTAATTATAATCTGTGTTTTTGTTGTAGAATGTTTTAATTATAATATGTTATGCCTCATTACGTTCACTATGATAGCAAATACTAAAATCGATGAGTTTTCTTGGAAATTTTTAAGATATTTGCATTTTTATGAAAAAAAGTATGCCCTATTATGAATGCATTTTAACAAGTAGAGTTTTAGAAATTAATATAAATTTTAGTATACGTTTTAGAATTTGCAATGTTTAGTATGTTATACTTTATTATGTCTACTATGATAACAAATACTAAAATCGATGAGTTTTCTTAGAAATTTTCAAGACATTTACATTTTATTTTATTTATGAAAAAAGTACCACCAGCAAGTCTAAGAATGAATTTTGATCCAATTGTATACAAGTAAAGTTTTAGAAAATAATATAAATTTTTGTATACGTTTTAGAATTTGCAATATTTAGTATGTTATACTTTATTGTGTCTACTATGACCACAAATACTAAAATCGATGAGCTTTCTTAGAAATTTTCAAGATATTTACATTTTTATGAAAAAAGTACCATCTCCGAGTCTAAGAATGAATTTTGATCCAATTGTATATATGAAAACGTTAAGAAGTAAAGTTTTAAAATTTATTGCAAATTGTATAGATGTGTTAGAATGTTGTAATTTCAGTATATTATACTTTAATATGTCTACTATGATAACAAATACTAAAATCGATGAGTTTTCTTAGAAATTTTCAAGATATTTACATTTTTATGAAAAAAGTACCACCAGCAAGTCTAAGAATGAATTTTGATCCAATTGTACATATGAAAACGCTAAAGAAGTAAAGTTTTAGAAATTTCTTATAATTTGTGTATTTGTCTTAAAACGTTGTATTTGTAGTATATTATACTTTAATATGTCTACTATGATAACAAATACTAAAATCGATGAGTTTTCTTAGAAATTTTCAAGATATTTGCAATTTAATGACAAAATAATCCTAAGTCTAAAAAAATACATTTGGATGTGATACTATCAACAAGTAAAGTTTTAGAAATTAATATAAATTCGTGCATATGTTTTAGAATGTTGTAAATTTAGTATACTATAGTTTAATATGTCTTTTACGATAACTGATACTAAAATTGAAAAGTTTTCTCAGAAATTTTCAAAATATCTGAATTTTTATGATAGAAGTACGCCGAATTATATTGGAATATGAAAATACTCCAGAAGTCAATTTTTAGAAATTTCTTGTAATTTAGGTATTCAACTTAGAATGTTGTAACTGTAATATGTTAGACTTTAATATGTCTACTATGACAACAAATACTAAAATCGATGAGTCTTCTAAGAAATTTTCAAGATATATGCATTGCTTCACCAAATTCAATTCTCTATTGAACCGAATTCAATTATCTATTGAACCAAACAGTATCTGGTGTCTAATCTTTTGATGATTCTCTTAATGATTTGCATCAAAGCATTTTCGCTAATGTTTTATTTATAAACTGTGCTTTATTATCATCTTGCATCCGAACCCGGTAGTAAATACCGAATAGTTGGCCAGATGACAGAATTGAGATTATGCCAATTAATTCTTGCAATGTTAATGTACCAGACCAGAAACCGAGGTAAACGAACTCCTCAGGGCGACTAATTAAGGATAGAAATAGACTCTTTAACTAAATTAAATTTAAATTTATCCATCAATATTTTTCCCTTTATTCATGTCTTTTACTTTCAGGGATTTCCGTCCAAGTTCCCTAGAAAAGGGCCAAGAATCCTGTCGTCTGAGGGCCTATGCGGCCTATGCCTGGGGCGGCCCTTTATTGATAGCAGGTTGTGCAGCCCTGTTAGACAATGTTCCTGATTCTTCATCAGGATCTGGTGGCCCATCAGTTCTTAGGCCCAAATTTGGAGAGGAGAGGTGCTGGTTTTCTGGTAAGATGACAAAAATTTGGAAGATAAAATATTAAATAAAAATTACGATGTCTACAGTAATCAACCAATGCAGAATATAAACTTCTTGGGTGTATTTTTACAGAGATAACATTGTATATAACCTTGATCTGGTATTTCGTCAGAAATATTTATCAGCAGATCTGGAATAACTGTTTATTTATTTCATCTATTATTTTATATATTATACATATTTTACATATTTCTATTAATTTAGGGAATAATTTTAGACACTAATTTTATTTGTACCCAATTTTGGGAAACTTGACACACTTTTTTTGGTGGCAAGCAATTCTATTGATATAGTTAAATGTCTTCTACTATTTCGTTATTTTTTGTCTAAATTCTGCGTATTACTAAGAAATCCACATTTTACCAGTATTGGTATTTAAACTTTTTCTTCTGTATCTCTTCTCTTAATGATTCTAAATTTACTTTTGGCAATCTTTCTTCAAATGTTTGTACAATTCCAATATTGCAAAATTAATTGGGTTTAATACTTGGCCTGACATTATTTTCTACAAATTGTTGATTTAAATTTAATTTGTACCAAATATTAGGGCCAATACTATTTCTAGTTCTTGTACTTCAACTTTAGGCACAAAATCCATCAATTTTACCTTTTTTAACCAAGCAGTGATAACAAATTCAATTTTAAGTAAAATAAAAATAATTATATTAGGAAAAATACATATCATATTCGTAATCAGCTCTTCGAGCCCATTCATTTGATATGTCACATGCAAAAAGTTGCCAGTTGCCTTTAGGCAAGTTGCCAGTTTCTTACTCGATATTGACTTATTGAGATATTAACTTTTTTTAAACAAAACTTGGTCAAGATTGAATTTCTGTATTTTGATGAGCTCTTCAGGACGTACCGTTTGTACAACAAACGGGAAATTTGAGTATGTTTTTCGTCAACGTGTTTACTATGACAGCAAATACTAAAATCGATGAGTTTTCTTTTGATATTTTGAGATATTAATTTTTTTATGAGTTTATTTCTTGAACATTCAAATCCAGATTTATAAATTTTACTGATGGAAAAACATTTAACAGTATTTTATAAAAAAAATTATATTTTGAGATATAAAGAACCAGCCAGCATGGCTCTTTTCTTATATGATAAAATTATGACAAAATCGATATCATATTCGTAATCAGCTTTTCGAGCTCTTTTCATTGATATGTCACATGCAAAAAGTTGTTCGAGATTTGCCTATCGACAAGTTGCCACTTTCTTACTACAAGAACCTTCTAAGATCTTTTTCTTCAACCAGCAGTGCCACATCCAATTTTCTATCTACAAAATTAACTAAACCAATTTTTTATTTAGGTGATTTGGAAATCCTGACCTACTTCTACGGACCAATTGGACTGCTCCTCTTCGTCAACTTGTTGCTATTCACATCAACAGCAAGACAACTCACCTGTGGTCTTTGGAAACGAGAAGAAGTAAAATCCACCACAGAAAGGTAACAAAATTACGAAAAAAAGTTATCATATTTGTAATCAGCTCGACGAGACCTTTCATTTGATATGTCACATGCAAAAAGTTGTTCGAGATTTGCCTTTAGGCAAGTTGCTATTTTTTCACTCAAAATACAGTACCACCCAGCTTAACAATTTTCACGATTTACCAAGTTGAATGCAACCAGAATTGGGGTTAATGATTCAATTTTTATTTTCCAGGGCTGCTCTTGGAAGGGTTTGTATGAAACTGGTGGTCGTCATGGGTGTGACTTGGATTGCAGATGTCATATCTTGGGGCGTTGGAGGGCCACATTATATCTGGTACGCTACTGATCTAATCAACGCCTTGCAGGGAGTCTTGATCTTCATTGTTGTCGGTTGTCAACCACAGGTAAATAAATGGATAAAAGACTGGTGGTATAGCTATAACCATACAATTTTTTATAGCTACCCATTTTTGATAAAAACTAATGATGGTATCGTTTTGTGCTCTTCGAGCTCTTTCATTTGATATGTCACATGCAAAAGGTTGTTCGAGATTAACCTGTAGGCAAGTTGCCAAATTTTCCTTTAACCTTGAGAAGTTTAAGTATAAATATGGAGTCATAACTTTTTTTGGTATTCCAGGACTCCTCATCAGTTTCCATGCAAATTTACTAATCTTTTTCTGTCTTAGGTTTGGGCAGCCCTAAAAAGGCTCTACGCAGACCACTGTTGCCACAGGACAACGAGCAACCCGAATGCCCCACAACATTCTTCCAGTTCTGTTGGAGGCCTACCATCAATTGGAGACTCTGTCACACACAATACCACAGCTAATGTTACCACAAATAAAATACCAATGGAGACTGTTTGTTAAAACATAAGAAGAATCATGGTAAACAATGGATGATGGTACAGTTTCTACGATACCATTGTTTTGGTGGTGCAAGTCAGGAATTGATGGATTTCTGGTAAAGTTGTAGACGGAAGTACTGATGAGTATGTCTAAAAGGATTAAATTAATTTGTTTAAGGTTGAAAGAAAATTGTTGCTTAAGACCAACTTTTTGGATATGGGTAATAGTCATATTTCTAGTAAAATATTGATGCAAACGGCTTGAACTTTTTATAATGATAAAATGAGGCAAAACCGAAGGCAAATTTGTAATCAGCTCTTCAAGCCCTTTCATTTGATATGTCACATGCAAAAAGTTGTTCCAGATTTGCCTTTAGGCAAGTTGCCAATTTTTCACTCAAAATCAACTTAACCAGCCAGCATAGCATTTGCCTTATATGGCCTAATTAAGGAAAACAAATATCATATTCGTATTCAGCTCGTCGAGCCCTTTCAATTGATATGTCACATGCAAAAAGTTGTTCGAGATTTGCCTTGAGGCAAGTTGCCAATTTTTCACTCAAAATAAACAACCAGCCTGCATAGCATTTTCTTTATATGACAAAATAAGGAAAAGCAGATGTCATATTCGTAATCAGCTCGTCGAGCCCTTTCATTTGATATGTCACATGCAAAAAGTTGTTCGAGATTTGCCTTTAGGCAAGTTGCAAAATTTTCAATTGATATATAGTACCACCCAGCATAACTATTTCCTTATATGGTAAAATTAAGGAAAAACAGATATCATATTCGTAATCAGCTCGTCGAGCCCTTTCATTTGATATGTCACATGCAAAAAGTTGTTCTAGATTTGCCTATAGGCAAGTTGCCAATTTTTCACTCAAAATAAACAACCAGCCAGCATAGCATTTTCTTTATATGACAAAATAAGGAAAAACAGATGTCATATTCGTAATCAGCTCGTCGAGCCCTTTTATTTGATATGTCACATGCAAAAAGTTGTTCGAGATTTGCCTTGAGGCAAGTTGCTAATTTTTCACTCAAAATAAACAACCAGCCAAACCATCGGTTTTTCCTTTCATTTTCTTTATATGATAAAATTACGGAAAATAAATTTTATATTCGTAATCAGCTCGTCGAGCCCTTTCATTTGATATATCACATGCAAAAAGTTGTTCGAGATTTGCCTTCAGGCAAGTTGCAAAATTTTCACTTGATATACAGTATCAACCAGCTTAACTATTTGCTTATATAGTAAAATTTCCCAAATATCTTGAAATTATATAATTTTTTAGTTGTATTTATAAGTTTAGTTTATTATTTTGATAAAATCGACTTTTAGTATTTAAAAATATTAAATTTAAGTTTTATTCTAATTAAAACTACTAAGTTTTAATTAAACAAGGACTGCGTATACTACTTTTATAAAATGATACCTTTTTTCGCAAAAAAGGATTGATTATTAATAATTAGAACAATTTATTATTTTTGTTAATAGTATTTATTTTGTCCTAGTTTAGTATTTTAATTCCCACAAAAGTATTATTTAAAATTAATTGTACATTCTAAATTTTTGTATATATTATAATTTGATTCAAAAATATTGATTTTGGTTTGAAAAAAAAAGATTTGAAAAAAATTGTTTTAGAAGCCCTACATTGTCATAATTTTAAGTTTTTGGAAGTACCAAGTACGTTTAGGTTTATTGTAAGTCAAAAATTTCAAATGACGAGTTAAAATTTATAAGTAATAAAAAATTTAGTGATAATAATAAATTTAATCAATATTTTATTTATTTACCAGTTTACCAATAGTTCTATTTATCTATAAATCAATAATAATGATTTGTAATGATCTTTTTTGACCAACAAATAGGAATTTCTTTAGTTTTTTCTCTGAATTTCCGAAACCATTGGACCTGCCTTCCCAAAAATGTGGTAAATTTTTTATTTTATCAATACGAATAAAATGCTTTTTAAATTTTTCTAATCGGATGCTCCGTTCTCTCTAAAACTGGATTTCCATTTTCTTCACTTTCTGCTCTGTATCTCCAAAACCGCTGAACCTGCCTTTCCAAAAATGTAATATATTTTTCATTACATCAATACAAGCAAAATGTTTTTTGAATTTCTCAAGTCGGATGCTCCGTTCTCTCAAAAACTGAATTCCTATTTTCCACACTTTTTTCTCTATATCTCCAAAACCGCTGGGCCTGCCTCTCTCAAATTTTGTTCAAATTTTTATTTTAATAATACGAGTAAAATGTTCTTTGAATCATTCAAATCGGATGCTCAATTCCATCAAAAACTCTCAAAATCAATAATATTTATTTGTAAAACTATTTTTGGACACCTAATTGCATTTTTCTCACTTTTTTCTATGTATCTCTGAAACCGCTAGACCTGCCTTTCCAAAAATGTAATGAATTCTTCATTACATCAATACAAGTAAAATGTTTTTTGAATCATTCAAATCGGATGCTCTGTACTCTCAAAATCAATAATAATTTTTTGTAATATTGTTTTTTGAACACCTAACTGCATTCTTTTACTTTTTCCTCTGTATCTCCAAAACCTCTGGACGTGCATTTCTAAAAATGTGATCAATTCTTCGTTACATCATTACAAGTAAAATGTTTTTTGAATTTTTCTAATCGGATGCTCCGTTCTCTAAAAATCAATAATAATTATTTGTAACATCTTGTTTGACCACCATATTGCAGTTTTTTAAATTTTTGCTCTGTATCTCCGAAACTACTAAACCTGCCTTTCCAAAAATGTGATTAGTTCTTTATTTCATCAATACGAGTAAAATGTTTTTTGAATTTTTCTAATCGGATGCTCCATTCTCTCAAAAACTCTCAGAATCAATATTATTTTTTTGTAACTTCTTTTTTGACCACCAAATTGCATTTTTTTTACTTTTTCCTCTGTATCTCCGAAATCTCTAGATCTGCATTTTCAAAAATGTAATCAATTCTTCATTACATCAATACAAGTACAAAGTTTTTTGAATTTTTCAAATCGCATGCTCCGTTCTCTCAAAAACTGAGTTTTTATTTTGCTCCGTGCCTCCGAAAACCGGGTCTTACCTTTGCCAAAAACTAAACACAAGTGGAAATCGATTTTTTTTGTAATCACTTAGGATTTATAAATGTTTTCCTTAGAATTCCTGCTTTAAATTAACCAAATTTCTTTCTTATAATATTTTATTACACTCTTAATTTATTTTATTATTATATTGTATTAAATTTTAACTCGTTGTTTGAATTTGTTGTTTAAATTAGTGTAAATTAATGTTAAAAAATGTTGCTAAATGGCATTGTGATTTTAGTATCGTATAAATGGAATTTTCTTAAATCAATCTTTTAATCGGTTTATTAATTTTGGTCATAGTGCCTTTTAAAACAATAACTAGCTAAAATTTGATTTATATGTGAATTTATATTTACAACTATTTATACAAAATTTAATTCATTAGACTGAATGGAATATTTGCTAATTGTTATACAAAATATTTTTATTGGAGTGACTGAATGCAAAGAAAATTGTTTTTGGGACTGATTATTAATTATTTATAGTTAGGATTTAATATTTTATAAAGAACATACAAGAAGTATTTTAATTAAAATCAAATAAATAACATTTTACTAAATAAATTTATCACAAATTCTTCACAAAAAGTCTTGTCTAATTTTAATTTCAATTATATATGTACCTTGCTTTATTTTTAATTACTCCTATTAATGTTATGACTGCTAAAAATGTGTATTTTTTTATTATTATTAATAATGAATAAGTATTTTTCTTTATCATTATCAGAATGTTTGTACAAACAAGTTACCCATGAGAAATGTTTAAATGTTCAATGTTATCGATAAATGAAGATTTTTGTGTAGTTTTAATGACAAAGATTTATATGTAATATTAAGATATACTGAATGATTAATTTATTTAATAAAGAACAGTAATTGATAATAGACAGTGATTTTGTCATTGATATCATATGTATATATATATATATATATATATATAATACGAATAATAGTTTTTTGCAGACAATAATAAGCTCAAAAATTTAACTCATTTTTCTAAACCAATAATTACAGGCGAAAGTATTTGTGAATGGACAAAACATCTTTGTTCTAAGTTCATAACTTCTGTAGTGGAAATTATTACAAAAACATAAAAAGATGATTGATGCACTTGCAATAATGCAAAAATAATAAAACCTGGTAAAGTATAAGTATGTAGTAGAAGTAAAAGTTGTGCAAATAGCATTTTCATCACAGGATTGCTTTTCGGAGGAGATGAAGGAAAAGTATTTCATTCTCCAAGCATAATCAATAATAGCAATATAATAAATAACTCCTTACCTTTTGCAGGAATCTTTTAGAAGTCAGTTCGTAGAACCAGTCAAAGTGTTTGAGGCACTTTTATATTTTATTTGTCTTTTTTTACTAAAAGACAAATTAGTTTGAAGTATAATAGTATCTGCTGTATTTATAAAGATAAGATGGTGTAATCGCCCATGGCAGAAATTGCATAAATAATCATAAAGTAATTCCTTCAAGAAAATAAATGTATATATATATATATATATATACATATATATATATATATATATATATATATATGTTACATATTCTTATACTTATTTGGAGTTAATCGACTGTAAGTTATCTAGACTTTTCTTTCTAAATATCCAAAAATACATAATTTAAACATCTAGTAAAGATGATTTGTAATCTATATATACTAATAAACAAGTATATATTTATATTAATGATACAAATTGAAATTGAATGAACATTAATGGACATGTAGGTTATCAAAGGATATTCTTTATAAATATCCAAAAATCATAAATGATTTAATCAAATATATATATGTATGTATATATATATGTGTGTGTATATATATATACATATATATATATACATATATATATATATATATATATATATATACTACATATTCTTATATTTATTTGGAGGATTGTTGATTGAGTGTAGGTTATCTA